ATTTTTACTAATTTACGTCCAACGAACTCCCACCTCCTCCTCTCTCTCTCTCTCGTATCAACGACGTTCGTTGACACCGATAAAAAAAAATCAACCGCTAATCTCCTTCACACTCACATTTTCGAAGCGTGATTACACACGATTTATATAGGAGCATCACGTATATACACGAAGCGCGCAACTTCGTTACGCTTCTCTCTTATTTTTTCGCTCTTTTTGCATTTCACGTTCCAGAAACGTCGACATTCAGCGCGAAATTCATCCGCTCACTCCGGGAAATACGATTGGCGGTGTACGATTTCGAAAGGACGACACGCGAAAAGGTAATCGATACCTCGAAACGCTTTCGAAAACACGGATCCCTGGAGGAGGAGGAGGAGGAGGAGGAGGAGGAGAGGTCCGCCTCCGGTCGAAAAACGCGATTTATTGCTTCCCCGAAGAGTGCGGTGCTGCCTCGCTCGTGGACACGAAATTGCAACTTTCTTTTCCACCGAAAACCCTTTTCAAGATGTGGCCGAGCTACGCGTAATTAGAGGGTTACGGGTTTCCAAAACCTGATCAAAGCCCCCTCCCCCCATTCTCCTCCGATTTCACTCTGTCGGCGGAAGTGGACGATTGCGACCGACGTCTAATTTAATGAAGAGAAACCGGCCAATTGATATGTGAAGAGGTGTAAAATTGGACCTGGAAATGATAGCACCGGTTAATGAAAGATGAAAGGTGGAGTTTCTTTCTCCAAGGGGGAGGGGACGAAATTGTACTCGGGGGAATATTGAAATATTTGTTATGTAAAGAAAGAAATTATGAAACGTGAGGAATTTGCGTGTGTACATATATATATATATATATATATCATCGCGTGATATATCCATCCACGGCTGTGAGATCGATAAAATTCACGAGCAAAAAATTATAAAAGTTTTTACACTAATCAGAATGGTACATTAGTCGAATTAAACGATTTAAACCACGTGTAACTGTCTAATCCACGAAAATTGAAAAGGTGTTTACAGCATCTCAAAATCGTCGCTTTGAGGTACGTAAAATCAAACAGTATTTTTAAAAATCTTCAAAAATTTTCACGATGAAAAGAAGAAGTGAAATCTTAAGGGAGATACGTAAAAATATTAGGAAAGTATTAAAATTCACATCATGGAGCTATATAGTGTCGGTAAAAATTCGAGAATAAGGAAAATCCCTAATATCTCTGCAGCAAAGCCCTCCAAAATCCCTAGGGAGAGCTATCTCGTCCCGAAATCGCGATGAAAATCCACGCCCAACGTGGAAAATTTCATCGCAATATTTCTCGAAGAGACGACTCGTCACGCGACGAATTACAAATCAAGAGAGAGAAGAAAAAAAAAAAAAAAAACAAAAGCAAACGGAAAAACAAAAGGAATCGAGAGATATTTCGAGAGAGATCTCGAACCGCGCTCCAGAATTACGCGGTATTAACGAATGTGTCGACGAGGCAAGGAACAAAAGGCACGATCAAACAAACACATGCACAAATAAGCAACCAGAGTGTGTCGACGCTCGTTAAATCAGCCCACGACAAACAACGCTGTTTTTATAAATAAATTTGTCGAAGAAGACGTGAAACGAGGAGGGAGAAACGGAGATAGAATAAGAGAAAGAAGATAGGAAGTGGAATGGATTGTTCTTTGTCTTTTCCGATAGAGAAATTAAACTCGAGAAAAATGCATGCGAATCGAATGTAGAATCATCTTGCATTCGATTTAAAAATAACGTAATTACATTTATCTATCTTATTTTACATTACATCTATAATTCTAATACGACGTTCAACTGTATTATCTTCCTCAAATGTTTAAGTTTTATCGAGATACTAAAAAAGGTGTCCTATCATCTTCGAACGACGACGCGCATATTTACGCCTATGCATCATAGTACAACGATCAACCTTTCGATAAATTCGAGAGGTTGAATAATGAGAATGAATAAAACCATACGAATAAAAAAATGCCGCGGAATCATCGAGGAGCCCGAGTTGACACGGCAGAAGGTCGCGAGACGAGACGAGACGAGACGAGAATTTTACCAATTCTCGACATTTTTTATTGCACACCACCGCCGCCGAGATTTGCCGACGTATTAGTCGATGATATATTTTTTTATGACGCGAGTAGATAAGGGGCGAGCGACGGCTCGGTCTTCTTTCGAAAGAGATCATCGACTGTATCAGTCATGATAAGGGATTTAACAGTCGCGCTAGTACGCGTTGTTAATTGCCATTTTCCTTCTTTCTTTAAAATCTTATAGTCTTCTCGAGAATTTTTTTAAAAAGAGTATGATATTTGATTATCTCGTATTTATTGTTGTTGTTGTTGTTGTTGTTGTTGTTCGTATCACTTTGGAGTAAATATTTTTGAAGTGATTGTGAATTTTGTTTTGTACAACGAATCAAGTTCATTAATAGTTTAGAAGATTCTGGATGGTAAGCAGAAATTTGGAATATTCGTGAAAAAAGAAGGAATTTCAAAAGTTGGAGAAGTTCAATTACGAGTGTGTGATTTATATCGTCTGATTCCGTAAATTTAAAATTTAAAATAATATTTTCGGTAAAAAGATACAATATTTTTTTTTCAATCTCTAATATTTTTAAACGATATATACCAACAATTATAAACCCCTATTATACTGATAAAAATATTAAATAATATTCGTTTTCCACTAGCAAACTCCTATTAAAATATATAAAATAATTAGTCTCGGATCAAACAAATTATTAAATATAAAATTAAATCGATAATATTTGCGTTCAATTTTTTTCTCTACTCTACAAATAAAATTCTAAAAATAATTATTCCATATGAAATAACTATGCTCAAAGATACGTTGCTCGAAAAAATTATCTATTTAAGATTTTCCAAAACACACTATACTTTATAAAAGAACGTAATAAATTTCATAAATTTATTCTTTTAAAACATTATCATGCGTGACTTGACGTTGTCACATAACAAACAAAGTAGCTTAACAAAAGCAATCTTCCAATTGTTCCGAGCAAAACGTATTCGTCAGCAAGTTTTTTCCACATTTATCCACGAAACAAAAGGAAAAGAGAGAATGAAAAATAAGATTAAAAAACTGAGATACAACGAGTAAAAATATCGTAGCCACTTACCTGGGAGCATTGATGATCGGTCGGCCCATTGCCCGTTGCTGGCGCTTCTCGTTGCTGGGAAGGCGCAGGTAATCTTGGTCGCCAAAGAGGAACAGATCCTTTGAAATAATCATGTCCACCGTGTGGTTGCCGGTTATAGCTGCCCGCCTCTCTCTCTTATCTTTCTCTCACTGCCGAACCACGGGCTGAACAACGCACCACGACGACGACAACGACGACGACGTCAAACGCGACGGAATATCCTCACCCAAGTCCCGCCACCTCAACACGTCCGACGCGATTCTCAACGACGATTCACCACCGCGATCTGCTTGCTTTTGCCGCTGCCAGTCGTCAGCAAACGAACATTTTTTCCAGGTATTGCCGCGACTTCGTGCCGATTTTCTGTCCAAACACCTGGTCGCAAGCATTAAGTCCGGATAAAATTGGTAATCGAACGGCTTATGTTACGTAAATCTGGTGCACGAAGCACAATGTAGAAGCAAATAAGCTTTTTCTTTTTTCTTTTTTTTTTTTTTTTCTTAAAGATAATTTAAGAAAGATAATTTAACTGGATTAAAGTCTGTGTCAAGGATTCTCGTGTCTTTGGTAAAATGAAGAAGTTCAAGAGACTATTTACGAAGATTTATAAGAAAATGTTGATCGAGTGTTCATTAGTGTATCCTGATAAATTAAGATCATATCTGCAAATGGATGCGCAGAATTTTGTTGAAGTCCAATAGCAACCGAGTTCACTTACCTAAAAAAAGAAAAAGATGAATTAGTAATGAAATGAAAGAGAAATTGTGTTTGATTTTTTAATTAAAGTTAATTAGAAGCATGGAAGTTGTTCTCACAGATTTCTAAAATTCTATGAAACATTCTTTAAAACATTATCACAAAACAAGCTTTAGAAATTCTTATTTCGGTATGAACTTCAAAGAGCAGAATGAAATAGAGCATAACTTATCAAGTAAAGTTTATTTAATAACCTACTATTGTTTTATCTGATTCTATTTTTATAATGATAATTATATATAATAGAATAATTACAAAAAAAAAATTTATTTTGTTAATGATTTTATAATATGATATTTAATATAAAATGTGAAAATTCATAATTAAATTAAATTCATAATTTAATTTATTCTCAATAGAATCTTGTTCACATACGATAAATAATATTAATCCTAAATATTTATGGATTATTATTTTTTTAGTTTTAAATTATAAATATAATCTGTACCATTGATATTTGTTAATTTATCTGTGCCACAAATGTGCTTAAAATATGGTGCATTTGCGCGTGGCTGAGAGAACGGCTTGCATTCACGCGTTCATTCATGATCATCTATTAGCAGCACCGAAGGTAATCGTGTCCATTGGGTAATCCGTTATTAGAGACGTGACCGATGCAAAAATGGAACATACAAACTTTTCACGCGAAAATAGCGGTTTTCTGATCGAATGTACGATTATAATATATATATATCTAAAAAATCCAAATATTATTTTCAACCTAACCTAAAACAAAACCTTTGTTGCTATTTTTCTTTTTGCACTCTTATCTGGAAACCATATAACCGATATGATTCATCATTTTGATAGATTCATTAATTATTTTGAACATTTCGAGCCCTTATTTTAATATATTAAGCATTTATTGCATTTTCTGCAAGGAAATTCGAAAAGGATAAATATTCTTTAAAATATTCTTTATATATCATATAATAAATTAAATGCCTAGAGCGTTATTTCTCTGATCGACAATTTTCACATTGTCAAACTATATAACATATTAAAAGACTGTACCTGCTTTGACAAATATCGTTGATTTATAAAACATACAAAAATATGTATATTTTATTGTTCCAAAAAACATGATTCATCTTGCACAAAGCCAAAACGTAAAAATCGTTGAAGCTTATTGTAGCTCGAAGTTATTCCAAACAGATCGCGAGGAACGTAAATAAAAAATGTTGCCAACATTTCTTACAGTGCAACATTTACTTCTTCCGAACGACAAAGAAGCATTTAAAAAGTCCACTTCGATTTCGTGAAATAAAAATATATCGTATTAACAACATACAATATTTGTATATATATTATATGTATGCACAATATATAGGTCACCTATTTTTATTCAATAAAACACCATACTCAATATGAAACACCATGTTCGTGCCAATTGACTTCCGAATTCTTGGCATAATCCGAATCGTCGCCATTACACTGAATCGTTGATTATTTATCGAAATTTGTCAATCGCTTAAAATTGCGGAATCCTCTTACGATCGGGAACAAAGATGAATATGGTGGAGGCGAACAGGTCATATTATACGTCGTGTTTGAAGCTGACGAAGTAAATCGAGCGGATATACGCCGCGCGCATGAGAACTCGTCCCATATTTACATCGCGCCAATTTTCACCCGCCAACTGTTAAGCATTAGTCACGGATGAGTGGCACGTATACGAGGAACGCCTCGTGTATCGTAGATATCTTCCTCTTTCCCGGCCAGAGAAGGCTTTTGACAAGCGTTTCTAATTAGTCGAGTCAAGTAATACTGTCCTAAGTTACGATCAATCAATGCCGTTTTAATTCTTGGCCTCGCGCAAAACTACTGATCACAAACTAACCTTTTCACTTCCGTTCGATAGTTTCATCAAGCGTATCTACCTTCAAACGTAAAATTATCGATATATCGATATATCGTCACGTGACTGATGATTCGTACTGTTGTCGCGTTCTATTAGTGGCGCAGAAATCGACAATATTAAGTAAGGTTATGGTAGCAAAAAGATAGCTTCTAATTCGATCACAAGCGTTGACCGAAAATATAACATCGAAAAATAGATAAATGAATGTCTAGAATGGATCATTTCTCTTTTTTATCGCTTTCATATGGCGTTAATGTTTTGTTTACGTATCGTGGGTGCTAAAAATTCACATTTTTTTATTGAATATTTCAAACATTTTTGATTGCAACAATTTTGACATGCGATTCACTTTACTTTCCAAGAAAAAAAGAATAGAACTATATATTATTAAAATTTTTAATAAAACT